TAGAAAGAAAATGTTTTGAGAATGATGATGGCAACAAATGTACAAATGTGCTTGACATAATGGGTAGATGAATGGATTATGATAAGAGTTGTACGAGCCCCAATAAAATGATTTAACAAAAAGTAGATCCTGAGGGGATCTGCTAGACCAGGTAAATTCAAGGCAGAGAGGGCAGCTCCAAAGCTTATGGTAACTGGTTTTTTTGGTACTGATTTTCTCAAACAACACAGGAGAGTCATTAAGGCTTAGTGAGAGGAAGTTTGAAAAAAAGTTAAAACTGCATTACAGAGAAAAAACAGAAAAGTTGCACTAAGAAATTTGTTTCATATTGCAGCAAAGGCTGGCCTATGAGAATGTTCTTTATAAATCGTACACTATTCACTGTCCAATCCCTGACCTTGGCCCGTTCATACTTTTTTATTCTCAAACTCAAAAAAACATTTAAAAGAAATATGATTTGAGTTTGTTAAGGATTTCAAAACTGACATTTAATGTCATGTAAATTATTCAAGGAAGGGTTCCAGACGGAAGCTGTTTTCAGACATGTATAGAACTAGATGGGGGAGTATGTCAAGAAACAATAACTACACTTTACTATTTTCTTTCATAAAGTTTTCTATTAAATGTAGCAATATTTTTTGACTTACCCTCACTAATATGTGTATCTGGTTTTGCTTACAGGCTAAGACCATATATATAAGGACCATTAGTAACATTGAAAACTTATTCTTACTTCTTAATTCCTTTTAATTGTATTTTCTTATTGAGCATTTACTAAGTATCCATTTCAAAAGTACCACTCATCTGTTAGTTTGGCAAACTGCAGTGACTCTTACTGTGATGGTGTGAACTGTACCACTGACATTTCAAATACCATGAAGGTTACCCATTGTGGGCAGGTTTTATTCAGCACGCTACAAGCCTATGACAAACTAAGAAAGAGGACCTAGAGATTCTCTACTTCTGAGAGAATTTGCCACTGAAAATCCTATAAATAGCAGAACACTATCTGAAACAGTAACAAGAGACTGGATACTATGCTAACCCCACACAGCTTCACATGAGGCCAGCACTGCAGGCCTCAGACATGGAAAGGCTACCCTCCACTGCCAACCAAAGGGCCAGCCCATAGTTTGGGCTGTGGCAGCTCAGCACACAGCCCTCTTTTTGTCTCCAGAACGATGTACAAAGGAGATTGTCTACAAGGAACTCCATTTTTCTCAGACTCTCAAAATCTAGAATTGCCCCAGAGCAAAGACACACTTCCAATTGCTTTTTTTTTTTATTCCCATGTGTGGGGAAGTAAAATTTCTTAATATAGTTGTTCAGCCCATGTCTCTGTAACTCCCAACAAATAATTGGGTGAAACAATGCAAAAAGTGTGTTTGTAGCACGAATAGAGAGGATTGGTCAGTTTTATTTACCACTCCTCTGGATATAAGGATGAGCCATGTCAGAAGTCGGGGGGAAAGGTATCTTGGGAACAGAGAAAACCAGTAGAAGATATTCACGATCTGGCTGAAGTGGCGAAGGCTAAGAAAAGAGGCACCAGAGGCTGTGGCAATGGACTCAGTATGAGAGCAGAGAGCATGGTAAGGAAACCATAAGAGAGAACAGAGGAGCGGTGACAAGACTTTGAGACTGTGATGCAGAGCAAAGGCCTGGCCTCCTGGCCTGCAGAAGCAGAGGCCAAGGGATTCACATGGCTGAGAGGCTGGGGGCTAGAAAGAGAATTTGGCTGTTGCCTGAGGAGAGTTGTGAACCATTGACTGTCTCCTTAATGTTTTCTGATTCTGGCTTGTGGTAATCTGCTAATTCCCTAAAAAGCCTTCTTAATCATGGGTATTTCTGTGTGGCCACTGCAACGGATTATTGAACCCAACAGAAAGTGGAGTGGCATGGGAGGAATACCAAGGCACGACCAAATTCAATCCATGACTTATTGGACATAGCTTGTATGTTTATTTTAGAAATATGGTCAAGAGTAAAATTTTTAGAGTTCTGAATAAAGCTGAAATTCACTTCTGGAAATGTCACATGACCTGAACAATGTATGTAGGGGATCGCTAAGCCAGAACAATTTTTAACAACATGTTGTCATTTCTGCCCATTACTTGTATGTATATGTAATTTATATGGACACCCCATTGACCATATATATATTAATGCCTCCTTATTTTGCTCTAACCACAATAACTTTGATGGGTCTTGTGAAGAAGAATTGAATTTTTAAAAATTTTTATATTAGTTGTTCCTTAGATTTGTAAAGTGCTTTCTTCCTATCTTTTACAATAGCTACTTCTTTCTTTTCATTCAGGTCTCGGTCCCCAAATCCTATCTATAAAAGATTCTATGTTACAGAGATAGCTGAAACATTATCTCCCATCCCACATGATCTTCTACAATAAACAGATGTCTACTTTTAAAATCTGTGTGGGAAAAAAATGTGTGCAGGCTTCAATCAGTAAGCATGCAATGTAAATTTCGTCTGACTTCTGAAACTAGGTCCTAATAGTAGATGCACACATGGCTGTTCACAGTAGCATTATTCATAATTGACTAAAAGTGGAGACAATCCAAATGTCCTGCAACTAATGAATGGGCAAAGTGTGGTACACCATACAATGAAATATTGTATAGAAAAAAAAGGAAGGAATTCCTATTGTAATAGCCACAGGAAAGAATAAAGTATGGATAGTACGTGGACATATGGATGAACCTTGAAAGCATGTTGCTGAGTTAAAGAAACCAGGCACAAAAACCAAATTTTATATGATTCCATTTATATGAAATGTCTATAATATGTACATTCATAGAAACAGACAATTGATTACTGGTGGTCAGGGTCTGGAGGGAGGTAAAATTAGGGATAGACTGCTAATGGGTATGAGGTTCCTTTTGGGGGGTGGAGTGATGAAAATATTCTTGAATTAGTGGTGATAGTTCAAATAACTCTGAATATACTAAAAACATGGAATTTTACACTTTAGGAGATATTATAAAAAGGACTATTAAAATCAGTAAAAACACTTTCTGATGAGCTTTTACGCTAAGTGGGAAAAAATTGTCACATAGCTTTTACTTTATTTCTTGGAAATTTCATCTCCAGACGACACAGAGGAGCTATGTATCAACTATGCCACAGTCCCATCTGATGGCCAGCACTACTGTCATAGCCAAAGTCTTCTTATAGAGGCACCATAGATAAAGGGGTATCCCGCAATAAGTGGAATTTCCCCCCCAAAGCTATGTGTGTAAATTTTTTTACAAAACAATCTTATCAACTTCAAAGTAATCTCTATTATACTTAATACATTTGTCAAATCTGGGCTTCCATTCTTGTAAACATTTTTCAAACTCATCTGTTTGGATGGCTGACAGCACCTTCCAAGTTTTTTGCTTCACCTCTTCTATGTGGTCAAATCGCTGCCTTTTCCTGTCCCTCTTCATTTGTGGAAACAAAAAGAAGTTGTTCGCAGCGAGATCAGGTAAGTACCTGGGACAAGAGAGGCATGCTGTTTTTGCCAAAAACTGGCGCACTGAGATCGCTGCATGAGCAAGTGCATTGCCGTGGTGGCAAAAGCATTCCCCCATCTGCCAAAAATAAGGCCTTTTTTGTCAAACACTGCAATGCAATCTTTTCAGAATCTTTCAGAACCTCTAAATAGAAAGTTTGATTAACAGTCAGACCTGGTGGAACGCACTAGGAGTCGACATTTTCATCCACTCGGGAGTTGACAGATATCCAGAATGAGGTTTGTGATCAATCATCATTTAACCTCTTTTTAAATGAGAAAACCACTCATAAACTTGAGTTTTCCCACAGCACTGTCCTTGTAAACTGTGTTCAACATCACAACAATTTCTGCAGCATTTTTCCCAAGCAGGAAACAAATTTTCACAGCTGTATGCTGTTCTCTTAAATTGGCCATTACAAAAAAGAGGTTCAAGTGAAACTGCTTTCATGAAAAAATTCACTATGACCAGATAGAATGTTCCCAGGTTACCCCACTGGGTGCACTAACTCAGAGCTGCTGGATGCTCACCTAGTGGGGATTGGGTGGGGTGGGAAGGGATGCGTACTATGAAAGCTCCACCAAGTGAAGCTTTTTCCCATTTTTTCTGGGGTACCCCCTTGTACTGTGGCAGAGGAAAAATGCCAGCCCCATCTGCATTCCTGACACAGAATCCAAGAAATGGTTATTTTTCTCATTAAGTTTAGGGATGGTAAGTTAGGCAGCAACAATAACTAGAATGCTACCTAAAACAGCCATCACACCAAACGATTTCTGTTATCTTGAGCTTTTTATTTCTTTCTTTACAGTACTTATTCATTATATAGCATTATGCTGTGTTTTTATTTTCATTCTGGCTCCCTCCTTTAGAAGTTAAGTTCCTGGAAAGCAGGGTCCTTTTAGGTCTTGTTCCTGTAACATTACCAGAATAATACTGAATGTGTAGTACATACACAAGAAAAGTGTGTTGGATAAACAAATGGATAAATTATTACAAACCCTCCGCATGGTAAGGCCATCTGGTTGGAGCTTCCTAGATGTGAATTCCAAAATGTAGCTATTGTCATTTCGTTAACTTTCCCAGTGAAATAATTTCCTATAATTATGGATCAAAGCACATAATACTACACATTCAAATAATCATTGTTTCTTTTGTTTCTAAGGAAAGTCCAAACTGGTTTATAAAACTATAAACATTCTTGATGAAATAATTTAATTATTATATTTTAATAAATGAATCAAAATGGATGTGACCAACAGATAAAATCATATATGGCCAATAAAGAAGTCATCTACCTTAGTATTAGCCTTATCCTTATAAGAATTAATCTCTCTATGTTCTTACCCCTATAACGCCCATTAAACAAGTATGAATAAACTAAATTTAAGTTTCAAATCCAGGCACACGTAGTTCTCAAATGCTCAAGTGGTTTACTTTGAAGTTACGGCAACATCAACATGTTCGACATATGAGAATGAACCTACCTCTGGTGCCAGATACTCTGGTGTGCCACAGAACGTCTTCATGGTGGCTGCATCTGTGATCCCTTCTTTGCAAAGCCCAAAATCTGTAATTTTTATGTGTCCATCTTTATCCAGCATCAAATTCTCCAACTGTATATTAAGAAAGATAACACAATTTTTTGACATTCTTCAATAACAGGAAAATACTGTTTTGAAAATGATTGGATGCTGAATAAGGTAGTATGCACAGAGGATCCAGTACTTATAAACCCTTTAGATTCCTAGTTTGTCTGAAAACAAACATGTTTTATAAGATACCTTATAATGATAAAATTATGCATTTTTATACCAAAGAAAAAGTTTGCTATGCTTGAAGAGCTGTTATTGTGTAAGTTCTGAAAACTAAAGCCTAATAAATTTTTAAAAGTAAACAAAAATCCTCTTTTTAAAATAGAGTGTGATCTAAACAATTCCAAAGAGATGAGCATCTTCTTCGCATATGAATAATTTTTTAAAATTTGTCTTAGAAAGCTATAGCAATGATAAAATATTCAATTACAGTGTGTTTTGGGGGGGCAGAGTGGTTATTGTAAATAAAGCCTGAATCTTATTTTGAACACTCAGCAGTTAACATAAATGTAGAACACACATACTGTAAATTTAGAGTACCATTGACTACATACATTACTTCAGAAACATCTAAGGCAATGGTTCTCAACTTGTGAGTTGCAACCCCTTTGGGGGTCAAAGGACCATTTCACAGGGGTTACCCGATTCATAACAGTAGCAAAATTACAGTTACGAAGTAGCAACGGAAATAATTTTATGGTTGGGGGGTCACCACAATATGAGCAACTGTATTAAAGGGTCAAAGCATTAGGAAGGTTAAGAACCACTGATCTAAGTGAATGCTGTTATCTGAGATTTAACCGTGTAACAAAATCATCTGTCTCAAACGAACATTATGCTATGCAAGGAAAGAGGTGGTTTGTCCAAAGACAGCACCATTACAAATAATAGCAATATTAGAAAAAGAAGGTACAATTATCTAAACCAGATGCACATTAATTCTGATTTGTGATCCTAGAGCCTTATGGAGATGATGAAACTCTAACTTGGCCTACCCTTGTACCTACGACCTACAAATGTACCAAATAGAAACTTTCTCTTATCATACATAAGAAATGTTCATGTGCAAAAATATCAGCAGGATGAATAAAAATTTATTTATTAAGAAACATTTAAATACTCCTTAAAATGATGGCATTAAAAAGTTTTTTTAAGTTACTATCAAATTAAAAGCAGAACTCCACAGAACATAAACAGATACCAAATAAGTGATTGTCATATTATTAAATGTCTTTTAAAGCTAGAAACTAAATAATTAAGCATGTTGACTGAAGTAAAGATTAAAAGACACATGATCCATTTTGTTAAGTCTGCTTAAATCTGCTCCCCAAATGAATTAAATATTCAAATATTGTTCCATGCACAGAAAACTTCAAAGAAAATCAGTCAAGTTTTCCATTTGGCAACAAAAAACTAAATAGAAGTCTACATGTATTCTTGAATCCTTAAGAAGGAAAAGTTCTATTGTACATAAACGAAGACGCTTTACATCCATCTCAAGCCTTTCTCCTAATTCAAATCTAGAAATGAAGCCAACGCTGCAGTCGTAGACCTGCAGAGGGAAGAGTGGCAAGAACACGGAGAAAGCCGTCTACTATTTCCCTATCTTCCTGTCTGTTATTTATTTTCTCTGGGCTTTGGCCTGTGCTTGTCTCCTTCACAATCTCTGCTTCCAGTCTTTGCTCCGTTTTCACTTCTCACTCAAACAACTCTCTTCTTCCTCTGTCCTCTATAGGATGCACTAGGAAAAAGAACTAGATACTGAAGAAAAATTTATATGCTCTATTTTTTAAAAGGTGTTTTAATATATCAATATATTAAAATATATAGATAAAATGTTTTAATATATCAATATACTTTAAAAATATAAAGAGAAATGGTTGCTACGGTGTGATTCAAGCCCCTGGATTGTATACTTGAAAACTGCTAAAAACGCAGGCTGTCAAGTGAAGTACATTACACCATAATTTTTTTTTAAACCTGAAAATTATTTCTTTGATGTTTTCAATATTGAGTAGTTACACATTGGAGCAAAAAAATCTAAAATTATAATTTTTTTGCTCTCTGCTAAATCTCATGGCTTTCTTATCTATGAGGAATGAAACGCAAAATGAATATGAAACTGTTCACGTGCCTATTCATCAAACGTTTCCTGCATTTGTGTTATCTTCACTGTGAGTCTAGAGAGCAAGGCACTATGATAATGCCTAATGCACCTAGTGCAAAAACAAGGACGAAGTCAAATAGGTAGTAATAATGTGCCATGATTAAACGGTGAGTATTTGCATCAGTTAGAAGGTTGTTGCCTAACACCTGATGCTTTGGAGAAGAGAAAAATATTTGACACACACTATAGAATTTCTATAAAAAATATCAACATGCTTCTATACAGTTGTAATGAACAAGCACTAATTTATAACTGTTGTGGGTTCACAGTTATTCTGAAGAAAATGGCAAATGTTGAAATATTTTTTCTGTGCTCACCTGTATGGTTAGACAGAGAAATTAGGACAAAAAAGTACTATGCGCCTTTCTGCTCTCCCTGGTGCAGAGAATAAAGTTAAACTCTAAAAGTACTTTGTCTTTACTGTATGGCTTCCAAGCTTTCACAGTTTTAGCTTCAAAAACCAAACCCTCTGTATGGAGTTGATCCTATACGAAGATCCTGAAACTAAATCCTTATGGGACTAGACAGCCCCATCTTTCTCCATGGAGTGGCTAATGGGTTTGACACATCAATCTTTGGGTTATTAGCTTAGCACCACCCAACCTCCTTTATATCTTTTACAGCAGAGAAAAAAAGTGAAATTTGTAAATTACACAAAGGTAAATGAACAAGTGACTCTATAATAGAAGAAACGCAGCCTGGAGACTGTCTTGACCATCTTGGGGACTGCGGAAGGCCATATATCAGAGGCACATTTGTAACCTATTTCTGGCATATAGGCTGGGAAGCTCTGCTCTAATATATGAGGGTAAGTAAAATTGCACTGCTATAGCATCATGGAAATCTTTATTAAACAAATACATACATCCTCAGCACAATTTACTTGATCTTTTTCTCACCAATGCAATTTTCAGATTTCTTAAAATGTTTTAACATGCACCCATGATCATGCTGTGTCCTTTAGGAAAAATATACCAAGACAATCCCTTGGTACTGCCCCCTGCCCACCAAATAGTTGCCATAACCTTCTGAGCTGACTGCTCTGCCTTCAATGTAACTGGCCCAGCAGATCCCCGTGGAGACCACTGTTCTGAACCGACCTTGCTCTGTGGATTGCATCGGTAAATCTATGACTCAACCTCACTTATGATTGGTCTCACAAAGTTGCCTTTATTAGCGTTGACCCTGCTTCACAAATTAATGGAAAGATTAGCTCTTTGAGCTAGTTGAACTTCACACAATGCTTTTGGCCTTTATTGAGCTTACAGCTTGCTGAGGTCAAGATGTTTGCTTAAAATTGAAAACAATGAAGCATATGAGAGCCGACTTCAGAAACTAATGCATAAATGGCAATTCTACAACCTCCGTTCACAAAGACCTTTCTGGACGTTAGCCACATTGGCTTAATAGGTTAGTTAAGGTTAAATGTCTTGGTTCATCTTTGCGGTTTTCCTAACTTTCCTTCAAACGCATTCTAAAAACTGTTGTTTTATGTGGGACAGAATTCCCATAATCTCATTGCAAAGTTTCAATGATTTGTGAAGATGTCCACTTTACTATTGTTAAAACATTTGAAATTAGCCCTGACCTCAAAATATATTTTTTTCTTATAGCACTAAATCTATCTTTTTGAAGACAGCCCAATGAAACTAAGACAAAATATTACTGAGAACTTGTGTGCATCAATGTAAACATAAGCAATAGTTTTTGGTATCTTAGTAGCATTTTCTTCTTTTACTTATCCTCATATAATTTACATTATTGAAAAAGTCCTAGAAAAGATTTCTAACATTATTGTTCAATTGTGACGTACCATCAATTTTTCTAAATAATCTTAAGGAACCTGGGTTATTAACAAAACAAACTTTGATATCATGTCCTGCGTTGATAAATTAAACAAATTTACCTTCTAATGTACAACAAAAGCTTTAGAAATTTATTTGTTCATATGTATATAAAGTTATTAGAACATATGAACTGATATATGAAATATATTTTGAATTAACATGTATATGAAAAAAAGGCTTTGCCTCTGATGTTAAATGGGGCAGCAGCCTAGAATAGCGATTTACTGTGAAGCACAGCTACCATTGGTATCTCAAATTGCTTTTCAGTTGAATAAAGATGAATAATAACACCTTAGAAACAAATTTTAGTCAGTTCAAAAGTGGGACTCTAAATAAATTTTTGATACTGCTTTTTAAACATGAGGGAGCTTCAAAAAGTTCATAGAAAAATGGAATTGAAAAATGGAATTTTTTTCATGAACTTTTTGAAGGCCCCTCATACAAGTGGTATAAATATATTTGAAATATTCATCCTCTTATCATCAATAGCTTTATAAAAGATTCCCCCACTGTTAATCCAACATATTTTCCCATCTGTATTTTATTTTTACTCTAAAAAAGGGAGAATGATTTAATGGAAAAAACATTAGGCTTAAAGCTAGGATTCATGGGTTCCAATAATCTTGACGGTGCCACCAACGCGGTTCATTACTTTGAGTAAGACACCTAGCAGACTTCTAGGTTTCAATCCCTATACCTACAAAATATGGACTAGCTCTAAATTTCTATGTTCCTATCCAAAGGATATCATTCTGTTATACGTAATCTTGCACACTATGGATAAAAAAATTTTGAATATTTGGCTCATTATATAGTAAAAATGAAAAAGGCAACAAAAACACTAAACCCAAACCCCAAACTCACTGGCATAGAGTAATTCTGACTCATAGCAACTTTATAAGACAAAGCAGAACTGTCCCCTCTGGGTTTCCAAGGCTGTAAATTTTTATTTGTGCAGAAAGCTATTGACCTTGTCACCGGTGGCCCAAAGTCACCAGGCTCCTCTTTGGAGAAAGATGGGTCTTTCTACTCCCATAAAGAGTTTGAGTCTCAGAAACCCACAGGGGCAGTTCTACCCTGTCCTATTCGGTTGCCTTGAGTCAATGGACTCAAAGGAATCAACTCAGTGGCAGTGATAGTTCATTTAAATCTATATTTAAAAAAATTAACTCAGTGGGGGAGGAGGGAAAAGCGGAGCTCATACCAAGGGTTCAGATAGAAAGAAAATGTTTTGAAAATGACGATGGCGACATATGTACAAATGTGCTTAATGCAATTGAATTATGGATTGTTATAAGATCTGTAAGATCCACCCCCTCAGTAAAATGATTAATAAATAAATAATAAACTCAGACAAAAAGATCAAGTTAATTGTTTAGTAAAGTTTAGTGTTCTATGTATATGGTAACTGCATGACTACCATTCATAAAGTAGATACTCACTATTACAGTTTAATAACTTTAGCATATTTCCATTATCAGCAAGGACAGAGTAAAGAAACTTATGTTTAATAAACTTCAATATACTAAGCAAATGTTGATTCATTAAATGAGAAGTGGAGAGTATTGATCAATTATATCACTCCTTATCTATGCTGAAAATTAAACTTTTTTTCTTTTGGCTTCTTTAAGTTGATAATTCTACCTTCCAGCTTTAAACATTCTAAATACTTTACTGAGTACTGCAAAATTATTCTCATTTCTCTAATCCAGGCCAAATGTTCTACCCTCTCTTCCTCACTCTCTTAAAATGAGGACAAAAGTAGGATTAGAAATTGGGTTAAAACAGAGAAAAGGAAACAGTTTTTGTTTTTCTTTCTTTTTTTTAAAAAAAGGAAACAATTTTCTATTAAATTTGGGAATTTAATACACATTTTGCCCTGACATACAACAAACTTCTTTTTAAAACATCTAGATTCAAAACATCTAAACATTATAGAATTATCTGATTATGCAAATACCAGTACGAGGATGCTGAAGTCTGTCAATAGTTATTAAAAAAAAAAATCAAGCTATGTAGAATCATTGAATTCATGTCTAGCCTACTTTGGCACTTAAATGGTTGGTCACGCTTCATCAAGATGCTTTATATTCCATGGTTTACATTTTCCTAAACATAAAATTTTTTTAATACACAGTATGTTGTATAAACAAACATATTATATGACGGAACTTCAAAAAGTTCATAGAAAAGTTCCATTCACTTTTAATTCCATTTGTGAACTTTTGAAGCTCCTTGGTATTTCACAACCATAGTGTGAAATAATCCCTTGTGGGCTTCTCATTGGATTATTCACAAGTTAATTGTACATGATTGGAATATCACGTTGCTTAAGTAACTAGACATCCTTAAGAATGAATGGCAGTAAAAATAAACAAGATGAAATTGATGGGAAAACTGGTTTTAAAATATGCATATATATAACTCCATGCAAAATAGAATTTCTTGAAAGTTTTGTGTAACTTCTATTAGCAAATAAAATCATAGTTTAGATAAATCAGTAGTTGATCAATGAAATTCACTCTTAATTTTAATAGGTCAAGAAAACAGCATTATGTCTTTTTTAGAAAGTAAGATAGTCACACTTAGAATTTGTTCAAAAGGTCTCATGGCATAATTTTTTTAACAATAGTCAATCTAATTCTTTAACGGTGTCATGAGAATTATTACAACTTTTGATGAGCTACTTCAGGGATGGTCCATAGGTCAAATCTAGTTTACTGTCATTTTTTTGTATTGACACAACTACACTCAATCATTTGCATACAGTCTTGGCTGTTTTAACAGTACAATGGACAAGCAGAGAAGCTCAATAGAGACTGTACTGGCATATTTACTACCTAAAAGACTTATTAAAAGAAAACCTAGAAAAGTAATGGCACTAATTAATTATTTTAAAGTAGTGCTTTTTTAAAATGGAAAGACAAAATAATCAACAAAAGATAGAGTTAAGATATTTCTGATATTTAAAGTATCAAAAGCTTAAAGCAGTATAAAAATACGTTCCATACAAGTAAACAGTCTTATTTACTTTCAAACTCTCTGCAGAGGATATTTCATACGGGACGCTAGAATACAATAACAAAATCACATAGCAAAAACATCACTTTTGAAGCTACTCTTGACTTTTAATCAGATATTTAATGTATCTCTAATTATAACATCTATAGAAAAATTAAACTATTAGTGGTACGTCACAATTCATCAGGGCAGTCAAGCGGAAATAATTTTGCAGATGAAAAACTCAGACATAAAAGAACTACATACATATAGGTAACTGAAATGTCCTGTCAAAGATAGTAAAATGCAGTCTTCAACAGACTGTTTTTTTCCCCCAACTAAATGGATTTTTCTCCAAACTGTGTAACTTTATAATTACGTTGTGTTTGTCCCTACAGTCTCTGTAAAAACAAATTTTGATTACTTTTTTTTTTTACCTTGAGATCCCGGTATACAATCTTTCCGGAATGTAGATAGTCCAAAGCAGAGACAATTTCTGCACCATAGAAACGTGTGCGGTCCTCAGAGAACACCCGCTCTCTCGACAAATGGAAAAACAGCTGCAGGGTAAACAGCAGGGACAGGATTGTAATAATTACTGATTTAGTGGGGGAAATTAACACAAACATAAAACACCTCTCATCACCATATTGTGATGATAGATAGTGTACTCTCAGTGGACACTGAGCACTCTTAGACAGCAGCTGGCTTATCTTTTCCAGGTTTCCAAGGGGAGACTGAGCTGTTAAATCAGCGTTTTAATCAATATACCAATCTTGTTTAAGGCATTCTGTTTGCTCCCCATTTAACCTTCAGTTACCAAAGGAACAAAGTATACATCATCAAGCTGCATTTTCCCTCACGGTACAGTTGCGTCACTCTTCCACCGAATCAGTACCGAGAGCCACTATGAAGGGATGGAACATAACTTGTATTTTTAGTACAGTTGCTTGAATTGTATTTGATTTCAAAGAAAGGATTTCTTTGAGCTGATGGAATTACTTATTATATCCTATAACTGACGATTCACCATTAAATCTTTTCAAATATTGGATTACTGTTTTCTACGGTAAAAAATAGAAAGCTTTTAAGATTTTACTTTGAGTAATGCCTTAAACACACTGAGGCTTCCATAGTTTACATTACAGTTCTCAACGCTCTATTTTATATTTTTAGTACTCATTAATTAAGTCTCTTTTTCTCATATAGTCCTTTTTAAACTAAAAACCTGTGCATTGCCTAGGTAACCACCTAAAAGATAAGCCATTCACCAGTCAGCAAATACGACTGGATGCTCATGGTGGCTAACTACCCAGGCGCTTCACTCTCTTCCCTGGAGAGTAAGGAGCACGTCCAAGAACTATGACGTGACTGTTGACCTTTGTTGTACTATTTCATCCTATGAAGAAATCTGCCAAGATCTGAGAGATTGTGTACAGTGCTGAGGACACTGATGACTACCATGGCCAGTACACAAAACATGTGAGTAAAGGAACGAGTCGATTGTGAGTACAAAATAAGAATTTCCCTGGATCACTGACTTTATGCTTCTACGGTATCTGTAAGAATCTTGGTTAACCAAGATTTGCTCCCGACATAGCAAATCATAATTTCAAGTAACGTAAAATAGGCACCCTACAGACTCTTCCTTCCTCTTTCCTACCTCTACTGCTACCCTTTCGTTTAATTTATGCTTAAACTACATATAATTATTTTCAAATAAATTTTATGCATGACCCACTGGTATTGAAAGAGAAAATGAATCATCTTAACAAAAAGACTAACTCAATATTAATTATATCAAAATAATCATATGGTACAAAGGCAGTAAACTTTAATCAAGCTCTAAAATAATGTCTTACTTTGTCAAATCTAAAATGATATTTATGACTCATGGAAGCAGGAGGGTGGAAAAGGGAGGGGAAAAAAGAGGAGCTGATAGCAAGGGCTTGAGTAGAAAAAAAATATTTTGGAAATGTTGATGGCAACATATGTACAAGTGTGCTTACTAATACAATTGAACGCTGCATTTCTATAATGTTTGTTAAGAGCCCCCAATAAAGTGATTAATAAAATGAAATATTTCTTAAAATTACCTCATTAATTTCTATGCATAAAGAGACTATCAATTAAGACACACTATTGACCATAAAATTCATGACTTTAAGTGCTAAATGTGCCCTAAACATGGTCAAACAGAGTACACCAAAAGTCAAATAGATTACTCTGGGATTTTTTACTTTACTTTATATAGACCAACCAAAACAAAGCCATTGCTACTGAGTTGATCCCAACCCAGAACAGCCCAAGGAGTAGAACTGCCTCATAGGATTTCCAAAGCTGTAAATTGTTAGGGAAGCACACTGCCACAACTTTCTCCCATGGAGCAGGTGGTGGGATTGAACAGCTGACCTTTTGTTTAGCAGCCAAATGCTTTAATGCTTGCAGGAGAATACTCCTTTCATATAGAAACATATATATTAAGGCACTATCATCAGAACAAGGACAGGGCATAAGATGAAGCATGAAAAATCAGTAACATCATAGAGGAGTTTTTCAAGGTCAAAATAATTTATACCAAGCTTTGTACAAACTATCATTAATTTTTTAAAGATCTCCCCTCTGCCATGTAATTTAATAGTCACCTTCTAAGGAAATAGAACCCCTGGTGGTGGTGGTAGGTGCTACTGAGTCCAACACAACTATGGTAGTTATATAATCCTTTGTAAATTTGAGGATTAAGAGTGGAGGGGTGGCGTCTTGCCTGTCAATCAGATCATAGCCAATGAGGCTTCTGTGTGGGCATGGCCTTTTCTTGAGAATTCTGGAAAATCTGGTATTTCCACCTTAGAGGCAGGAGAGAGACTCTCCCTCGCTACTTCCCTCCTTGGAAGACATTGCAGCTGACAAGACACATGGAACTACCCTAGTGCCCTGAGCTGGAGAAGCCACATGGATCTATCCCTGATGCAACCAGACCTCTGAAGCCAGAGAAGCCACTTAGAGACCCCTGCCAATGCTGAGATGCTTACAACACCACTGGATCCAAAGACTTTCTACCCACTGGCCTGTGATCGTCCTGATTCAGTGTCATTGCATGTGTTTCTTGAGTCTGAAGAGGACTTTATAGTTTGGTATCGGACATGCAGGCTAAAATCGGACTTAGGGACTTGATCTGGACTGGGCTGCAATGTTTTCTCAATACTCAACTGCTCTTGTATATACACCTCTTTCTTATACATGAGTGTTTATGACTTTGTTTCTCTAGTCTACCCACACTAACACAGAAACTCATAGCAATCCTATGAATAACATGATAAAACTTACTGCTTGGTTCTGCTCAATACCCTCTATACTACCAAGCATGTTAATATGTTAACATAGAGAAAGCATGTGAGATGAAATCTTGCCATCCTCGATTCTAAAGAGCATGGTGATTATACTTTTTCAAAGACAGATTTATTTTTAGTTTCTTTTTCTGGCAGTCCACAGTACTCAATATCCTTCGCTAACCTGTTATTCAAATACATCAATTCTTTTGCAGCCTTCCCTATTCGTTGTTCAATTTTCACTTGTATCTAAGGCAAGTGAAATAATATGGATTCTATCAGGCTCATCTTAGTTCTCAAAGTGACTTCCTAACTGTTTAACATTTTAAGGAAAGGTCTTGTGCAGCAAATCTGCCCAATGCAATGCATTATTTGATTTCATGACTGCTGTTTCTGTGAATATTGTTTTCAGATCCAAGCAAAATAAATTCCTTGACAACTTCAGTCCTTTCTCCATTTATTATGATGTTGTCTATTGGCTCAGTTGTGAGGATTCTTTTAACATGGTGTTTTTATTCATAGAAGGCTGCAGTTTTTGATTTCATCAGCAAGTACTTCACAAGTCCTCCTCACTGTCCGAAAGCAAGGTTGTGCCATCTGCATATCTCAGATTGTTAATAAGCTTTCCTCTAATCCTGATGCTGTTTCCTTCTTCATAAAATCCAGCTTCTTGGATTATTTTTTCAGTATAAATATGGTTAAAGGATATGACCGATACGTACCTTGACTGTGTTTAAACCATGCAATATACCCTTGTTCCATTCACACAACTGCCTCTCAGTCTATGGATAGGTTCCTTAAGCAGAAGTATTGTAGAATTCCTATTTTTAACAATGTTATCCATAGTTTGTTATGATCCACATAGTTGAATACCTTTGCATATAGTCAGCAAATACAACTGAAAATATTTCTGGTATTCTCTACTTCCAGCCAAGTTCCCTCCAAGGTCAGTAATGGTATTACCTTATGCTACAGCCTCTTCTGCATACAGCTAAAATTTCTGGCAGCTCTTTGTTGATGTATGCTGAAACTGTTGTTGGATTATCTTCAGTAACATTTTAATTCTTACCATAGGGAATGATGGGGGTAGTGCGGAGTGGAGACCCAAAGCCCATTAGCAGGCCACTGGAGACTCCCTTGCAGAGGGGTCTCGGGGAGGAGACGAGCCAGTCAGGGTGTGATGTACCAACGATGAAAAATACACTTTCCTCTAGTTCCTAAATGTTTCCTCCCCGCTTCCACTGTCATGATATGAATTCTACCTTGCAAGTCTAGCTAGATCAGAGGATGTACACTGGTACAGATAGGAACTGGAAATACAGGGAATCCAGGAAGGATGATCCCTACAGGACCAGTAGTGTGAGTGGTGATACTGGAAGGGTAGAGGGAGAATGGGTTTGAAAGAGGGAACCAATTACAAGGAACTATATGTGACCTCCTCCCTGGGGGACGGACAACGGAAAAGGGAGTGAAGGGAGACGTCGGACAGGGCAAGATATGAGAAAATAATAATTTATAAACTATCAAGGGCTCATGCGGGAGCGGGGAGGGAGGGGAAAAATGAGGACCTAATGCCGGGGGCTTAAGTGGAGAGGAAATGTTTTGAGAATGATGAGGGCAATGAATGTACAAATGCGTTTTACACAATTGATGTATGTAAGGATTGTGATAAGAGTTGTATGAGCCCCTAATAAAATGATAAAAAATTTTTAAATTCTATGTGAGATATACTCTGTTAGGCTCCATTTATTTTGAATAGACAGAAACATGGTTCTCTTACGGTCAGGCACCCAGGTAGCTTTCCTTCCAAATTTCTTGGCATAGCCTATTGAGTACTTCCAGTGCTTCCTTAGCTTGTTGAAATATTCCAATTGGTATTCCATCAACAGCTGAATCCTTGTTTTTGGCTTATACCTTCAGTGTAGCTTGGACTTTTTCTTTAAATGCCACTGGTTCTTCACCCCCTGCTACCTCTTGAATTGGTTGAACATCATTTTTAAGATTCCTGAAATGCTCAACATTTTGCCAGTCGAATCTTTCAATATTGCAACTTGAGGTTCGAATATTTCCTTGAAGCCTTTTCCTTGAATATGCTGTGTTCATCCTTTTGGCTTAGAACTCAAGGTCTTGACACATTTCAACACTGTCCTCTGTCTGCTCAAACTGCCCTCTGTAAATTTCTGTTCAGCCCTTTTCATCATTTCTTCCATTCGTTTTAGCTACTCTACATC